AGTATAAATGATCTGTTGGTTGCTGATGGTCATGTAACTGTCAATCATTGGAGCAGGCAGTGCTCTGATGATGGATCCGTCTGGGTTGTGGAGAGAGATTTGTTCCTTGTCCTTGTAGCCCACTGCTATCAGATTGTTGTCATCCACAGCAAGGCATGTCGGTGTGCTGTCAATGTCTGCCTCTCGACCTGGGTTGAACTGATGGAGAAACTGGTATTCCTTGTTGAAGATCTTGACATTGGACTCAAACAGAATAATGAACTGGTCATCTTTGTTGACTTCAAAATCGACAGGCTGCTTTACTGCCCCTGGATCCTCACCCTGCAGTTGGCTGATTGGGCAGACGTGAAGGATCTTGCAATCTGGACTCAGCTTTGTAAGGTTCTGTTGGCCTTTGTTAACCACCACCACGTCATTTGTGGAGAGTGATGCAATCAGTTCTCCAGTGATGTTTGAGTTACTCAATAACTCCCATTTTTCTTCCAGCAGCAGATAGCCAAGCTCAGTTTCTGTCTGATTCTCGGCAAAGCTGATGAAGGAAAGTTCAGGGCCTACATGATCTAGTTCCTTGACCACATCCTTGTAGTCATGCAGAAGCTCTTGCCGTATTTTTAAGACATCCAGCTGATTGGCCTCAGTCATATCCCCGTGCACCCTTCCCATTGTGTGCTCTGCAAATACCAACTCGGCCAGTTTCTTGTCCTTTCTCTTGAATGCCGCATGTGCCTGCTGTAGGAGTTGTGTCTCCTTCTGTCTGATCTTGGCCAACTCCATCTCGGCCTTCTGAGAAATCTGCTGTTCCGTCTGAGCCAGCATCATGTTCAATCTTTTGCGAGAGGACTCCCAGTTTGTCAGAATTGGTGTGGCTATGTTAGCAGAATTATATTTGACAACATGGGAGACCAGTTCACGAGCGCGGTACAAGCAAATGTCTATAGCAGTCTTGAACAAAACTGTGCACAGGTTCTTTGTGGCCGGAAGAGGAACAAATTTTGCAGATCAGCTGTTCGCATGAGTTGCAGTAGAAGCAGAGTTCCTGACTAGGATGGTTGTCACACATAGAGATGTAGCTTTTTGTTGATACAGGCTTGGCCATCATTGCTTCACTCAGCTCTGCCAGAGATGTCACTTTGTGGGTCCGCAGTGCAGCCAGCCGCTGATGTGCCTTCTTACACTCTTGGCAGAGATAATGCCCACAGTCCATACAACAGGATATTGCTTCATTGCTTTCATCACATGCCTGACACATGACCATTGATCCTTCATCTTGTAAGAGTTGTTCCTGCTTTACTACTTCCTGCACCAAGGCAATCAGAGTGTAGTTGGTGTTCAACTTATCCACTCCACCCTCAGGCAAGGTGGTCTCTCTCTTGCACAGTGGACATGTTACCTTGTCATCATTCAGATGTTGGCTCTGCTTGAGTTCTTGGAGGCATTTCAGGCAGAAGCTGTGTGAGCAATGCAGCATCTTGGGTTCTTGGTAACAGGTGTGGCAGATGGAACATTCTAGGTGACCCTGGATGATGGAACCCAAAACTGACTCTACTGTCATACTGGCTGCCATCTTGAAAGCTACAGATTCCAAGAGTGAATGAAAGAAAGGTCGCAGTCAGTTCTGTGGTCGAGAGGTACATGTACCTTGCCCACTTCAAGAATCCAAATCAGTGCATGAAGGGCTAGCATGCACTATTTGAGTCTATACTGAATACCTGGAGGTCATAGGGGTTAAAGCATACCGTGCTCACTACATGTAAGAAAGTTGACCTGTGGATGATAGACATACATAATACCACGTATTATTATAATCCTGCCCAAGCCAAAACTGTAGTCTACTTTGGCATTTGAAATAGGGTACCCCAGAGACCGGTTTGGCAAAAGACTTGGTATTTGATTTTGACACTGTGTTGACAAAAATCTTAATTGTGGTGACGGACATTGTATTTCAAGCATTTCTAACTTGGATCAAGCAATTTGTTGACAAAAATCTTAATTGTGGTGACGGACATTGTATTTCAAGCATTTCTAACTTGGATCAAGCAATTTGTATTACAAAAAAAGTAGCATAAGTTAAAGCAGACTCATGCCGTGTAAAATAATACTGTACATTTTTCTGTGACTGACAAATAAAAAGATGTCTTTTTTTTATATGGTACACCATGTTAAAAGTCAGACTGTAAATAGTATCCACCGTCAAGTTTTGACAGACATTGTGGCACCGCGCCCTTCCGACGAAGGCGAGGGCGCCCTCCTCCTCGAGGCGCGGTGCGTCGGACGGCACGCCGGAGAGTCCCTGAGCAGCTAGGGACGAGTCCGTTGGGACTGAAGTATACCGTCCCCCAAGAAAGTTGGTCTTCGTCGAGATGATGGCTAATCTGATTGGTCGAAACTTAATGACGTAACCCAGACAGACCTGACTTGAAATAAACTTCGCCTGGACTCCTGACTTATATACAACAATTACTAAGCGGCTGGTTTATTCATCAACACACTCGACCAATACACCAGTAGAGGGCGCTATTGACGGGGAGACTGTGTGATTATACGTGACCGGACTTCGCCCAGACCATTCGGACTTAGGCACAGTCACACTTGGCTAGGTGACTTTAACCCTTGCACAGGATTCTCGACCCGGCCTTACATCCGGATCAGCCCTTGATCAGGATGACTAATCCTTGCTTGTGCGCGCCTTTCATAGCCTTTGCGCTGCTTTGACCATGCCTGCGTACGCGCTCACGTGACCAAGCAGTGACTTCCGCTGCCCTATTGCACAACGTACAAGGCGGAGCCTATGCGCCGCGCTCGCATATCACCTGCTATGCGCGCCTAATGTCTGCCTCTGTTACT